ATTTGTTACAAATAGGGGGCAGGTAGACACAATATACTTTGATATGACTAAAGCTTTTGATAAGGTCAGTCACAAATTACTCTTGCATAAATTATTTTTATATGGTCTATCCCCAGAGTTATGTCAGTGGTTCCAGAGTTACCTGTCACTCCGCTCGAACTCTGTTCGCGTTGTTGATAGTCATTCCCATAGTTACTTTTCAACGTCAGGTGTTCCACAGGGGTCAATTCTGGGCCCTCTCTTGTTTTTAATATTTATAAATGATATAGTATCTTGTGTCCAGAGTTCCCAGTTGTTACTTTTTGCTGATGATATCAAGTTGTTTAGAATGATTCACTCTCCTGTGGACTGCGAGATCCTACAGCGTGATGTGTCCCTCATTTTTCAGTGGTGTGAACAAAATCTATTATTGCTTAATCCTGCAAAAACAAAGGTCCTATCCTTGTGCCGACGCCATGTGCCTTTCAGTTTTACTTATCATCTTGATATCATGCCAATTGAACGTGTACTGTGTGTGAAGGATCTTGGCGTGTACGTTGATAGTGCCTTGTCTTTTAGAAATCATGTATCTTTTGTGGTAGGAAGTTCTATGAGAGTTCTGGGAATCATATCACGTTTGTCGAAGAATTTCAGGAGGCCTCATTGTTTGTTACATCTTTACAAATCTTTAGTTAGGTCACGTTTGGAATTTGCCTCGGTAATATGGAACTCAATATCTAGGGCACAGGCCTTGACCATCGAAAATGTTCAAAAAAGATTGATTCGTATTGTTTACGATAGGTACTTTGAAAGGCGCTGTTATTATGACTATGAATACATACTTAGGTCATTTTCGCTTACACTCTTGTCTGAAAGGCGAACGATTCATGATTTTGTATTTTTGCATAAGGTTGTGAATAGTGTAATTGATTCGCCATCAATGCTCAGCAAAGTTAATTTTCATGTTAACTTACGCCATACTAGACATCCTGTATGCTTTGATGTACGTTCACCTTGTTGTACTTCACCGCTTTCTCGGATTCAGACATTATACAACAGCATTGCTCCTAAGCACCTCGATTTCTGTACATCCATTTCATTGTACCGCCATCAGTTGAATAACCTTGTAATTTACTGATAACATTTTGTTTGTTTATTTGTTTTTGGGTGATGGTAATATACCAACGTGTCTCTAGGATTGAACAGGTGCACCAAAGTGAAGACCGCTGTGGTTGTTTTTGGGCACTGAAAATAAAGTCATTATTATTATTATTATACTGTACTAATTCCTAAAACAGAAGACACAATAACTTTAAAAAAGGTTGAAGCTTATCGACCTATATCACTTTGTAATGTGGACTATAAAATATTTGCCCAAGTTTTAAACGAACGCTTACACCTCATAATAGATAATCTAATCGGAGAACACCAAACTTGTGGTATACGAGAGCAAAACATTCAAACGAGCGTACACGTAGCAAGATCTGTGATTGACTCTGTATCCGATGAGCAAGATCAAGTAGCTATAGTTCAGCTTGATTTGTCGAAGGCATTCGATAGAGTAAGCCATTCTTTCTTATTCAAAATACTTTGTCATGCAAACATAGGAACCATGCTATTCGAGGGCATTCAGCTCTGTTACAAAGACAGCAGCACAAGGCTAGTTGTAAACAATTCCCTTTCTGAATCCATTCTTATCAAATGTTCAGTAAGACAAGGTTGCCCACTATCACCGCTTCTTTTTGCTTTATACCTTGAACCTCTCTGCCTTAGCATTATTACCAATGAAAATATCCGAGGTTATACTATTTGCTTCACAGAGGTAAAGATACTGGCATATGCTGATGACGTGGCACTGTTCTGTTCGAATAAGAAGAGTGTAGAAAAAGGCCTTCATATAACAGAGAAGTATTGTGACCTAACGGGAGCGAGGTTGAACACTGAAAAATCTCATGGCTTCTGGATAGGCGCGTGGGCAACCATGCCAGGCCAATTGGCTGGGCTGTCGTGGAACTGCTGTCCCTTCCTCTAGATCAAACAAGACCCAATAATCTATATTGGAATTGCGTTGTAACTGAGATTAAGCAAAAATCATTAGCATGGGGGGCACGAGACCTTTCAATCTTTGGAAAAGCAGCAGTGTGCAACATGTTTTTAATATCGAAACTAATGTATGTCTTACAAGTATTACATTGTGGCCGTTCAAAGGTACAAGCCTTCCACAGAATCTAGCGACCTTTATTTGGAGCTCATCTTGGGAACGGATGAAACGCGATAACTTGTTCCTTCCGTTGGAAGCTGGCGGCTTAGGTCTTGCACATTTATTCGTTCGCCAACTCGTTTCGCGACAATTTTTTTTTTAGGAATTTATCCCATCCTTTTCTGCTTACCATTGTTCAAAGAAAGTTGGCACATCACTTGCCCTTTTTGGTCATATCAACAACGAATTCTACCCAAGGCAAACTATGGGGCTTTTGGAAAGAAGTAATCAATACCTTTATGTTTCTAAAAGTCCGCTGCTCATTAGAATATTTATTTCTAGTACCAAGAAAACGACTATCACAGGTCTCGATTGAAAGTCTCTTTCCCATTCCACTATATAGGACACGATTTAGTGACTGTAATGGACAAGATGTTCTAAAACATGTAAAGCGAATGTGCATATCTCCAAGTGCCAAAACATTTTTCTTTAAGTTACACTCATCAACGCTTCCAGTAAAATCGTGGCTCCAAGAACGTGGGTTTTTTGTGCCGTGGTCAATTGACTGTCGATTATGCCACCGACCAGAAACAATAGAACACTGCTTCATCTACTGTACAGATGCTGTTTTCTTCTGGGATGTCCTCCAACAAACTCTTAAAAAGGAAATCGACTTTACCGATCATACTATTAATTTTTTACACATACCTAGTGAGACAAACATTCCCTATGATTTACTTATGCTGATAGGCCTCCACAGCCTCTGGAGAGGCCGGATGATTGATAGGAATGCCGACACACCACGCACCAGAAAATTAATTTTTCTGGAAGAAATTTCGAAAGTAAGAGGTGTTTACGAAGCTCACCCACCAGTACCTGAATGGTTTCACCTTTTTGATGCGTGTCTGAGACTTCCAGATTTTTAATATCTGGAAATGAACGAGATTATAGCCTGCTTAAAAACGTTGTGTTTGTTTGTGTTTATGATGTGCTGGGAGTGAAATAGTGCTATAGGAGTGCGGCTTACACAGACATTCCTCTCAACTTTTCACCTTATATCCATCGCTGTGTACATAATCATCATTTCACCTTGTAACCATGTAACCTAAATTTCGAACAAATTTCCATGTAATAAATAAAAAAAAATAAAAAAAAAATGTTCAGGAGTAACCTCAATATAGCATACATAGTGGACACGTCAAAACACTAAAGCTCTTAAAAAATTATATTGAAAGAAAAAACGAGGCCTCTTTGAGGTGCCCACAGCCATTCTGTCGTTGACAATGGCATAAAATTGCTTTTAAGCTAATTGGCATGTGGTATTAACCGTTAGGAAGAAACTTTGGAGGAGACAGAGCATTTCGTTATGCGTACTTCACTTTTACGATGATACAACACTGCTGTTTTTTTCCTCAAAAACACAGGGTATTCGAGGTAGTGTACTTAATTACCAGACCGCACACGGTTTTCATACCTCACCATATTTAACTTCTAGATATTAAATAACGCAATAGTTCTACATATGTCATGTCTGTACTAAAATTTTAGATGTACATAAAACAATATGTGAACAAAAACAATACATTTGGAAGCCATTCTTTTATGCAAAGAGCTCGGTAACGAACTTGCCCCTGTTATCTGTCTCCCCGAATCAAAACAAATAAAAAAATAAAAAATTGAATGTTGCGTGTTTAGTCGGCTGCTGCCGACAAATCTCGTCTACTGGTACAATCGCCTCCAAGGCCTTCCATGTTGCTGCTGCTCGACAGAAGCTATATAGTACATTCAGTTCAACATTTCAAATAAACTATGGTTCACTTTGTGTAATAAGACTCAAATCGAGGTAATGTTTTATTTATCTGTTACTAATTCTAAAGTTCTTTGTTTTTTTCAACTGCAATATAGTTTCAAGGTTTACTCGCGGGCGTGCCAGTGCCATTTTTTTTCGTGCTTCTATTCTTTATTTTTATTTGACATTCTCTACAGCCCCCATCTTATGCAATGTACTTTTTAAAAGGCCCTTAAGGATGTACGACGATAAAAAGAGTCCGACTAAGCAGTTTGGCGTATAAGCCGCACTAGCCAGTAAAACATTGCGTCACTTTTCCTTTCCAATACTTGAGAATAGTGTAGAAGCTGTCACAAAAAAAAAAGTTTTTTTTTTAAAGCACAAATACACTATGCATCACCTAACACTCAGTCTCCGGCTAAACGTAGTGCTACAGATAACAACCAGATGCCCAAAATTCAGGCCAATCCGATAGGTTATTATAAACTTCTACTTCATTTTCTTAACATTCCAATGGGAAAATGGAGGCCGAAGGAGTATTCCAATACATGGGGCCGTATGGCATCAGAAACCGAAAACAGGCAAAAATGGGCTTCATTTGCAGTCTTGGTGCACAAGGCTGTTCGTATAGCATTACTTTTTAACTCGTCTATTGGGCACGAGTGCTGCGTCAGTGTTTCGGGCGGGGCTCAATCAGCCAGTCGGAGGTAGCATTCGGGCCCAATAGTTGAGTTAGCACGATCCCAACTGCATGCACAAGATGCTGAAAATGCCACAATTTTCATAACAGATTCTTCTCGTCGACCTCTCACCCCAACCACCGCAAACAGACGGGATACATCGGACCTCGGCCAGCCGTATCACCGTAACTTCAGTGAGTCAGTCAGCATGACCAGCAATCGCGGACAGCAGCGGGAGACGATGACCTCAGCACCATGGGCTATAAAATCTACAGACGACTTCAGACTCCTCAGAGGGCACGCTGGTGATTGCGCCGGCAAGATGCTTAAATTACAATGGTCTTCACTACAGGTTAGTGACACACGATGAATATAAATCGTTCCGTTCTAGCTCTTATTGTATTACAGTAAAACCTCGTTATAACAAAGTTGAAGGAGCGGTCGTAATTATTTCGTTATAACCATTAGTTTGTTATAGCCAATGTCCATTTCTTCCCACTATTAGCAAGCAAGGGGAATAACGATTGCTTTGTTATATCCATTAGTTTGTTATATCACATTTTGTTATAACGAGGTTTTACTGTATTGTGCTGCCGTGCCCCATAATGTGCATTTCTATGTTGACCAGTGATTGTTGGCTTGTTTTAAAACTGCTACTTGCATGAATCGTGGAAACAAATCCGGGACCAACTATCCAAGAGTTGTTGCAAAAAAGTACTTGACGGGCACGAAGAGTTTAGTAGAGATCTCAAAGACATCAAGGAAAACCAGACACGATTAGACAGTAACATGCAGGACATGAACAAAGAAAAAAATAGATTAAACAAAAAGCGTTTCTAGATATTATGGAAATCAAAAGGGAATGTAGATTGAGTGAGAAAGACTGTAAGGGAAATCAGAACATAAGGTAGAGCAGCAGAAGGGAAGAATGGTTGAAACTGAAAAATACAGTACACGAAATAACATATTAATATTCCGACTGCGGGAAGACGATGGTGAAACCTCTTCAAGGCTAAAGGAGACTGTTGTGAAGGAAATATTTTCTCACAAGTTGGAAGTAAGAGCTGCGGCAATTGAACAAATACACAGGATTGGTCAGAAAAAAACAGGGCACATGACGAGTAATTATGAAATTCATGAATTATAATGAGAAGCAAAAGATCCTGAAAACCTGCAAAATAGTTTAAGGGAAGTAAGCTGAGTGTAAGATTGTGACATTGCAAAAAGAAATGTTAAATGTCAGAAGAAGAAAAAACTGGGAAGGTGCAAAAACAAAACAGGGAAAATGGAGATTGTGTTTATTCACCACGACAAGCTAAGAAACAACAACAAAGTGTTAGACTGGGACGTTGGAAGCAATGCAGGTGTCCAGTGCCTCACAAAATGAGACAAGACCGGTAATTACTTTCACATTCAGTTACAAAACCGTGTGAGTTAAAAATGATCACTTTTAATGTTAGAAGCACAGTAAACAAAGCAACATCTTTGGAGGATATGATAATGCTATACAAGACGCATTATCTTATCGAAATTAAAACCTGTTGGCCCTCTTAGGTGAACTTTGACCATATTATTCCACCTTCTTGTTCGCTCTTGAACTGTGAGTTGAAAGAGGCATTGTTGTGCAAAATTTATTTTTGTAATATATAATTTGTGTTTGTAACTGCCTATTCGAGACTCCAGCTAAACGGACGCCACCAAGCGGCAAAACCGGGAACCAGCCAGACCAGGTCGCTCCGCGCCCCTCGCCGTCTCTGGTGGCTTTCGCGGACACGTGTTATGGGCGCGGTGCCAAACAATGTAATTTGACGAAGGTCCGAACATTTCTTAAGTTTGCCCGAGTGTTCATTAGTGTGGTGAAGCCTCAGTAAATTGTTACCTTCCATCACGTGTTTGAAAGCCCGTTTACTCCACAACACACGGTCGCATGTTTTCGATTTCTTGGATGGGGAGGAATCGAGGAAAAACGTTTTGATTTCTTCTCTGTCTCGAACCACATTCAAAGTGACGACTACTTGGTAACTGATAAGTGTTTTTTTTAACGAGACTGTAGAACAGTGGAGTGAGGACGACAGACTAGGTGTTTCACTGGAAGGAACACCAATGTTACAGTCAAGTAAATAGGAAGGTTCGATAGCTGGTTTTCTTGAGTTTGGTTGTGTTCCATTAGCTTCAAGTTTGAGCCAACCGCGCCGGTCGGTGCGTTAGCTATTCGTCTTGGCTGCTTTTCGCCGAAAAAGCCTCTGGACCACACTTAAGGAGATGGGCTGATTTCGCAATTACTTCATTTCGGAAAACCTGCTCGCTGCATGATTAATGAGGGAAATTATCTACATGCTTTCAAAAGGTGGGGGATGCGTCTCGCAAAGTTAGAAGCTGTCACGGCATTATGATCTATCGCGCCTGCAATATTTGTATTATACCCCCGTCGAAGCCATCAACAATATACGTCTACATTGCACAGGTTGACCGGCCACAGAAAATACACATTTTCTCCGTTCAGGATCCGAAGTCGAGTTCAATGCAGAGAGGTTCTGCGTAAATCTTCAACGAAGGCTCTCTTCAGTCTTTCCGCATTCGCCTCCGTGCTGCCGGCTAGAACCATTTGGCTGAGTTTAAGTAGTATCGCTCTGTCTGTCAGTTATACTTTTATTCAGCAGTTCACCTAAAAGCTAGTCAACTAAACTCATAGTTCAACCCGAAGTGTATACTAATATCGCTTTAGTGGGACCATAGTATGTAACATAATGCATAACCCGCTCGTCAAAATGACTTATCGATTGCTACTAAACCACAATTGAAATACGAGTATCAGCTGCTTAGTTGGGCACTAGCGGGTTAAAATGCTCCTTGGCTCAAAAAGCACTTTCTTAATTTTCGTAATTTTCCTGCAGCCTGTGTTGTTGACCGAGCAGACGACTGGAGCTGTTTTCTAAATGTGGATATCACAAAAGCTTGATTTCGTGGACAGATAAGTCGCATGGTCGAGGCATGCGATTTAGCTGAGGATTGCTCTCGGTGGAACAATTCTGTAGTCATCGCCGCTTTCCTTAGGTGATCAAAACTGATTACAGTCTATTACCGACTCTTCGGAGCCCATAGTTTTGGTTTTGAACGAAATCTCCGAAAGGAAAGTTTCACATGAGCAGAACAAAAATATCAGGAAAACAAAACTATGCTCTGCAAGTTTATGTGCACCGGCTACACTCAACCGTCTCAGTTCAGATACCTATAAAATTGGGCATTAAACAAAAGAAAATCTGTTAAATTGAATGCGCCACCCGTTCAGGCAGCCCGGCCGAGCCGACGCGACCTGGACTCAGCCGCCATGTTTGTTTGGTGGTAGCGCCAACTATAGGTCGCTGGAGTCGCGAATAGTGTGCCAAACGCTCCATCCACGTTTTTCGAGGATCTTGATAACTTGTAATTAGTTAGGGAAACATATAAAGAGCAATACTCGACTAATCATACCAGGGGACTTTAACCGTCCCGGTATTGATTGGTTGCGGCTCTCAGTTGGGTCTTTAGAAGTTGCAAGCTGCGAAATATTGCTTGATATCGCATTTAATTATGGTACCAAACAAGTAGTTCTGGATTGCACGAGAATTACTGACTCAGCAAAACATTCATTCATTTGGTATTTCTGTCAGATAACATAAACAATTATTCCACCACTGTAAATCAAGACATATCAGTTGATCAAATGGTTCCACTAAATATTATGTTACATCGCAGGAAAGAACAGTTGCTAGAAAATCTTTAATAAAAGATTTTCACAGGGAAAGTGAGGTTGCTATTCTTGAACACCTCAAGATGCGATGGGATGATTTTACAAATCTTTCATATACCCACAGAGTGGACATGTGACTTTAATTGAGGAATTTGGTATCATACTGTATTGAAACCTATATTCCGTACATGTGTAAAGCAAATAGCAAAGGATAATCCACGGATTACTTGTAAAAATCAATCACTACAAGCCTAAGATAAGGGAAATGTGGAAAGCACAAAAAAAAAAGAAAAAAAAAGAAAAGGAAGTTATTTAAGAGATTATCAGAATAACGAGACCATTACTAAAATAAGAGAAAGAAAGGTTCTTTGTGGTCACTCTACATGACATTCTGAGGAGTTCACGAGCCAGATTCTAGAGGTACGTCAGCAATAAAAAGGAGCAAATTGAACAGATCATTGTAGATAATTGAGTAGTCACGGAATGTAAGGATATTGCAAACAGGTTTTATGTACTTTTTCAATCGGTTATTACGAAGAAAGACAAAAAAAGAAAAAAAGGGTTTCAATTTCTACCAGCACAAGGCTACCTCAGATGGCTCAGCTAGTAATAACGCAGGATGGAATTTTTGATTGATATTGCATCTTGATGCAAAAAAGGCTCAACGACCACATAACATCCCCGGAGAATTTATCGGAAGATACGCTGAATGGTTGTGATTCTACCTGGAATATTTTTTTTTAAGAAGTCTCTAGAAACAAGTATTCTTCCTCCTGATTCGTTAAGGGCTAAAATGGTGCCAATATTTAAAAAAATGTTGTCGTCTACAAATAAATAATTAACGTCCAGTGCCATTAGGACATGCTGCAAAGTGATGGAGCATGTAGTTGCAAAACATAAAATTAAATTCCTGAAAAACAATGCTTTCCTTTATTTAAAAAAAAAAAGGCTTCAGGGCAGGTTTGTCAACAAGGACAGAACTTGTAAAACATTTTCACGATGTTACTTCTGCAATAAATTCGAGACTACAAATTTATGTCATGAGCATAGATTTTGCAAAAGCATTTCATCGTGCTAGGCATAACAATTTACTAACAAAACTTAAGATGTTTGCACTAAACTAAAATATTATAAGTTGAATTGAGGCTTGTTCAGGAAATAGATCGCTGGCGGTTGAAGTTCAAGGAGCACTTTCAGACTTAATATAGCTAACTTCAGGGGTGCCACAAGCAGCAGTATTGCAACCATTGCTGTTTATTTTATATATCAATGATATCTCAATGGTAATTAAACCACCAGTACAAATAAATTTGTTTGGGGATGATTGTTTGGTTTATTTGCCAATTAAGACATCCGAAGACTAGGCAGCATTAAATGACAGTTTCGACTATATTAAGCAATGGTGCTTCCAATGGCAAATGGAAATTAACTTAAAAAGGTCATCATATACCAACATAACTAATGAGAGGGATGTATCTCTGTTTCACTATCACATTGCAAATGTAGAACTGTCAAGAACAGAAAATTTCAACTACATAGGGGTGACAATAAGTCACAATTTTACATGGCAAAAAGACATATTCTAAATATCTGCGCAGCTGCATTTTGCAAATTATCCTTAC